TCTCTCTGCATGGACACAATGGTGAAATTTGGATGCAGCGTTGTGCTTGGGTTTTTTTTTTGCCCCAGTATTTCTGTAATCGGCAGCTTGGCCTCATCCGTGTATATTCCTCTCAAAATTGTGTCAACATTTCCTAGGAGTGCAATGTTATGGCTTATTTACCTATGTTAGTAGCTTATTTCCTCCATGGAACCACAAATTACCTGTTAAACGCGAACACAAAATGAATCATCACAACAACAAGAACGTTGGGGTTTTTTTTTTTGTCCACAAATCTCTTGTGGAGGCTAACCCTAACAAAGGCACTTTCTCCAAGTTAAACATTTGACCTGTCCTCTCTAAAGGTTGATTGATACCCATTGTCACATTACAACACTGAACGCCATGCAGGAGTGGCACGGTGGTTAGAGCCCCACATTATTAACTGGACTCTTGAGTTCGATTCCCAGCCATGGCTAACAGGAGTTAGTGATGATATCGGAACTAGTTCTGGTCCATCCCTTTCCTCTCATCAACCCACACCAACTACTGTGGTAACATACAAACAACCCCTGCGATTAGCACTGTGCAGGAGGCGTTAAGCCATCCGTGGATTGGCAAAGCTCTGTAAAACGATTATTATTAAGGCACAAGCTTCTAACGCAGTGTTCACATGCTGGGTTATGAAGCCATGAACATTCTTTGAGCAATAAGTAACAATAATCTGCTCTATTTGACATGTTCCAGTTTTTTGCAGCATTAAAGACAGACGTTGATTGATTATGAATTCTAACATTGGTTTTTCATTTGGGTTTAATTGAGCAGGGCTTTTTAAGTTTCAGATTTATAACTTCCCAAGTGTAAGGCCACAACTTAAAAAATGTTATTAGAAAAAGCTTCGGGTTATGCCTTAACCTTATCCTCACAATTAAGGCTTTGGCTTAGAAGATGGCCTAAATACCTGTGACCTTGATTACATGCCTGACCAGATATGACAAACGTAGAATGCACTTAAAGGAATAGTTTGTTTTGCTTTATCTCTGTTAATACTGACTGACAGCTGATGTCATATATTTTCTCGTAACAAAAATACCACATCAAGGGTTGGCTTGTGGCCACAAGAAATAACGAAAATCATGCTGAGTCTACTCCCAGGAATCGGTGGCATCAGGCTACTAAAAAGGCATGCGTCATGGAAGGAGTGTGTTCATCGGCTTGGGAAGCGTTGAATGCGATTGAAGGAACTGTTTTGGCCCCCCAAGGCTCACAGATGTTCATGTTTTTAACAAAGCTGGTGCACATGAATATGTATTACCTCTTTGTAAGCGTTAGTTCTCGTACCGCGATCGGTGATGAAAGTATTAGCATGCATCGTAAAAAAAATCATCATTGTGCACGTATTCATACTATTATCGTTATCTACAATTAAAGTATATACATTTTGGAATATCACAAGTAATGCTGAATAGCACTTATATGTACCAATTATTTGGGAAATACCAACAATATGTATATTCTATAAAATGGCAATTATAAAATAATTATATAGAGGCTGGTTGATGTTGGGTTTTGTTTAGATCTAAGGGTCTCAAATATACATTATAATAATTTTACAAACCTCAGCAGATTTTTTTAAAGTTGTGATTGCACTATCATAAAAAAACAATTCGGATGATAAAAAAAACATACATACATGAGACCATTACAGGGTGAGATTGTACAATTTTGTTAAATGTCCAATTAATAAATACCAGTTTAAAATAAAGAAATGCCACCTTTACTGCATAATCATTTGCAGTTCTAACTTTCTTTGCCTTTCCAGTTACCAAAAGTGATTTAATGATGCGACTGAGACATTGAATCACGTTCGGTAATACAAAAACACTTTTTTGACATCGACCATATGTGAGTGGAAATACAAAAAAAAAAAGCAATCACTGCCGGTGACGGTGCCTCCCATCCGCTTTTCACTCTCAAACCTCTGGGATCGTTTTCTCTCCTCCGAGGTGCAAGCAGAGAGCCGTTCGTCAACCTTCTGCCGATTTCACCGATTCCGCATGTACCCCCAACCCATGGCCATCATACGCCGTGTGTTTCGCTTAACGGTTCTGTCCCTCGAAAGGGGGGCACGTGTCAAGCCAATGAAGGAAACTTGGTAATTTTTTAGTTTTCTAAATTCAGCTCACAGTCTTTGTCCCGTGCATCTTTTTTTATTGTTATTTCATTACCCATTCCACGCGCCGTATCGGCAAGCGGCGCATCCGGCACTTGGGCACGCGCATCAACGTGTATGACTAATTTGAAATCTGTTTTTGTTTTCATTCTCCGTATATATATGTAAAACTTAACGAACGAAAATTAATTACGTGTCTTTTTTAAGATGAGTTCTGAATTTCGTTTAGGCAAAGGTGGTGGACTCTGCTGTTAGGTGGTTGTTGTTCTACTTACCCCCATCAATCGACTAAGCAACTCTTTTATTTTGTTTCCTACAAAAGAGCACTTCTGTCACATCAGTTTACATCAAAGGCTGAGCATAGGGACTATTTTAAGATCATCAATTGCCAGAACTATTTTGAAATCCCATGCCTAATTAGATTAGGTCCATCTACCGTGTGTTTGTTTGTTAGCCAGTGATTAAATAATAAGTAAAATCCATTTGGTATGTAGGCAATGTGCCTGTGACTACAATGGCAGGTTTAATCTGGAAAACCCCATGTAAAATGCCTCATCAAAGATGAATCAGTCATATTATAGCAACGCTGCCATTCCGAACCACCCTAGGAATGGAGGCGATTGTCCCGAACTTGACAACAGCACAATCATTCCCCTTCAAATATCTTCTTTTCACAGAAAATGAAATAGGAAAACATTCATCAGAGGCACTGGAGGCCATGCGATAAGCGGCTATAGAAATTAAGTTACCAGAAGTTATGTGACCGCAAAGCAGACTATGCAAGGCAAGGTCATCTTTAAATATCCTATTAAATTAGTGGCCATCTTTAAAGCGTTGTTTCTATAAAGGGCCAAAACAAAACAGCTTAATTCCTTGCAGATGGGACTTAGAATATCACAAGATTTCCTTTTTGGCTGATAATGTCGACTGCATTTTGAGCTTTCATTGGTATGCACAGCTCAATTTTTTATGAATTCATTTCATCTGTGTAGCCTTGGGACAGCAGGATGCTGTGGTGGTTTTTTTCTCTTCTTTTTTTTACATCAATTTTGGCCAGTCAACAGAGCATGAAATTAAATGTGAGAAATCATTGTGTTATAACAGAACATTTGAAAATATCACATACGAACACAGTCCAGACTTACCGTCATTAAGCCCTTCTTGCTCAGTAGGCAATGTTTTGAGCATTTAATGTCCTTAAGCCTTGCTGTAGCAGGAAAATTACAGGGCTTTCAATGGTGGTGTTTTCACAGTTAGACAGCAACTATTTGATAATTGCTTATCGTGACCAACATCGTGTAAGTGCGTCTCCTTCTGCTTCGCCACAGTGAATCAAACATCCTCAGAAAGCCTTGTTAGTGTGCGCGTGTGTATCCACAGAGAGAGCACGTGTACTTTTCCACCTGAAAACAGGTGCAATAATGCAAAGTCGTACGAAGTCATTTTTTCTTGAACATGCATTTTCATACAAACTGGATTTCACAGTGTGCATGTTGAGGTAGTGTGTCAATTGTGCCTGGAAACCATTACGCATTTTGCATGTGGTTTGTAAGGAGATGCTGTATGCTTTGTACAACCAACACTCGGATTAAAGGTCAAAAAATGCACGCAACATTTCCCTTTCTTTGTCTAAAAACATAGGACACTTATTAAAGTGAAATGAAAAAGTCAACCTTTATTAATCATGTAAGTCCATAATGAATATGTATGTGGTTACGCATTTGCTGGCTTTGCACTTACAATACGCCACTGTTAATTATGGTCATTATTTTGAGTTATGAATATAGTTTTAAAAATATGAACTTTGTTGTTACAGGAAGGCAATTAAAATTAAAATGTTATGCACTGCAGTGAAAAACTGAACACTGGGATATGGTCTAATTTTTTACTTTTTATTCATGATCTGTAAATACTTTAAACACTACAGATATTAAAACCATTAAAATATGAACTTAGCAAACACTTGGTTTGGTAAATGCTGCAAAAGCCAAGATGCATAACTAAATAAAAGGACATTACACATATAAAAGTACATATTTGTATTTACATTTCACATACTATGTGTTATTTCATGTAAATATCAATATATGGTAATACCTATTAGGTTATGCACATTTTATTACTGTGCAAATTTGAATATATTACAGAACAAGATATTAAAAGAAATTACAGTCAATATATAAAATATTTCCCATTGTATTACGATAAAATAACACTCTTGGCATTAAAGCCTTTTATATTGCAAACACAGCTCGCAATTCTTGGCAATGTATTTTACAAAACGTAACGCATTCATTTTATTTCAATACTCTTTAAGAAATGTCAGTTTGCGATGCATACAAGGTTGCATACCACGCTATCAAGTGGATGCTTTAAAAAAATTACCTCATAAAACGTGTAGCATCATCACATAAACTCGTACACACAGCAAGAATGCAGTGTTTAACTCGCCTAACTATCCCAAAGAGATATTGTATGCATCATGAACTGACAAGTTTCTCTACCCATATTTAACCCTGTCAAAATTTGGTGCAAAAAAACCTCCATTGACTATCAAAAAGAATTTATGAGCTATTTATCACTACTTTTAGGACAAAGAAAGGGCATTTTGGCGTGTTGAGAAGTACAAATGAATATTTGTTTCCAGCTTACCCAAATAAAGTAGGCTGTAGGAGCATACAGCATCTCTTTAGGCATATGCAGACTGACAGCAGAATGGCAACATGCAATATAAAAAAATATTCACATGAATGAAAAGACATGTGCCTTGACGATGTTCAGGTGCACTCTAGCGTTTTGGGTTTGGCGGTGTTTACGCTGCAGAAAGCAGGGCTTGGTGGAGACTGACCGGAGCTTATTGGCTCAGTGTCCTTCTCCCATGAGACGATCGAGATGTGTTCGCTCAGAGAGGGCGGCACGAGACAGCGGAAGACGGCCGTCTGGCCCAACATGGCTCTCTGATCCTCCACGTGCACGGTGTACGGTTCACGGAACACTGTTGTTTGGGAACGACAACGACAACAACAACAACGCAAAACACACGCACGGGAAAGTTGGCACCGATTAGTCCTCGTCGCCGTTGCACAGTTTGAAAAATTGAAATTCAGTTTGCAAAGAGAATTAATTTGTGATATAAAACCATCATCATATAAAACTGAATTTGCTTAAGACAAGCAGGTTGGTTGAGTTACCAACCTGCCAATCCTCAGCCAAAATAAAAAACAAAGACCCAGAAAGTTGGAGAGATTATACATTCATTGTGAATGTATGGTCATACAAACCCCTACAGAGTTTTGGGTATTGCAACAATGAAATATTTACTGTGTCCAATTAATACCGTTCATATTCATGGAAATTAAATGCTGCAGAGGCCCTTTGTACTGTCACACACAACGCTTATTGCCCCAAATGACCCCTTAAAAAAACGATTGAGAATGCATTAAAGCGTTTTGTTTTAGGCCTCCGTGGATGGATGTTAAATCGTAACTGGTAAATCCGCATCAGAGCAAAATCATTGACCCAAACCAACCATAAATCAATTTCCCATGGAAAGCTGAGTGTCCCGAAATTCACAAAACACCCATTGGCACCCCCAGTGATGGAAAAGAAGCTGAGACACTAATGAACCAGGTCACACCATACCATGCTAGCTTGCTCGGCATCTCGGGGTTTGAGCCTGTGGTCGGGCTTTCAATAACTAATGTTTTTCACTTGGTTCAAAAAGAAACCTCTCACATGCAGTGGGGTTGGTGACTTCAGGCAAGATGGCTTTGATGTCGATGCCTGTTATTTTCAAGGTACCGAGCAAGCACCTCTCGAGACCTTTAGTTTTAACCTCGATGGGCACACGAGGACAAATCACCCCGATGAGAAGGGATTCTGCTTCTTCTGGCCATACAGTTTGATTGCCATCCTCACTTAATGACTGTGCCACAGAGGTCGTAATCGGGTACTCGATACCCGTACCCTACCCGATACCCGGCTACCCATACCCGGCCGGGTATGCGTATGGGTACCCGTTTGCGACCCTGGTGCGGCTGGGTACGGGTACGGGTAGGCCGTGAGTCACTGGTGAGTAACTGTTTGTCACTCATTTCCCAACGTCTTGTCTCTTCTCACAATTCAAGTTCCTAGAATCAACCCACCCGCGCCTGCAACATGGCTTTATCCCAGAAGTCGCAATCGGGTACCCGTACCCTACCCAATACCCGGCCGGGTACGGGTAGCCGGGTATCGGGTAGGGTACGGGAACGGGTACCCTTTTGCGACCCTGGTGCGGCCGGGTACGGGTAAGGTATCAAAACCCGTTTGCGACCTCTGCTGTGCCAACAAAAGCATTAGAATTGTTGTTTGTACAGTATGCGATTCAGCTACAAACCTATCTGGATATTCTTAAGACCCTCTGTAACCACCAAAAAAAAACATCTGCCCTAGTTGAATTGGCCAAATTAATTTTCTCTTCACCAACGGGTCTGTGACCGTCATTGGTGAGTGCTTTTCAAGTTTCCATTTTTTTGTACCAAAATTAGCGTTATCCTATGACACAAAATTATTACAATGTTGAAGTTTAACTTAAAAATTGTCTCTTTAAAATTGTCCACACTCATGTGCTAAATAATCCTTGAATTAAATTAATAAAGAATTGCTGCTAATGATATGGGTATTTGCCGCACCCTGACATAGATATATGGAATATTAGAGTGGACCAATTATGCCTGTAAAAGCAGGGGATTATTCATATGCAAACGTGGTCATAAGCAACTGCCTTCAATTGAAGTTATTTTTATCCTTTGGACGTGACTGTCCATCCATCTCTCCCAGCCAGCCAGCAAATCTTTTAATCTTAGTGCCCTGTTTCACTCCACCATTCTCTTACCTCCTCTGTACTGTATATCCCAAATTATATCGATTTCTCGCTGTGTCTCAGTTTCAATCTGCTTCTTTATTCCTCTGCCCCCGTTGCAATCTCTCCCTTCCTCTATGTTCCTCTCCTCTCTCCACGGTATCTCACCCAATGTACCCCCCCTTCTCTCCCTGTCCCCCCTCACTCACGTTATTCACAGCTCTCCTTTTCCCATCTAAATCTCTCTTTGCCTCTCCCAAATACTCCCTCCCTACCACTTGTCGCTTTCCCTTGCGCTCCTCTTTCCGTTTTGCTCTCTCTCTCTCTCATCTCCATTTTACACCCATTCACTCTCTCCCCACCCCGTTCCTTTCCGTCTCTTACTCCCCCCTCTGTCTCCCTCTTCTATTATCCCGCTCTATCTTTCTCCTCTTTTGCCTGTCTTCGGGGATCCACAGTCAAGGTGGGGAGGGGGAGGCATGACGTTGGGGTTGCTCAACGCTGTGGGATGCGGGTGATGTCAACGCGCAGGTGTGTGCGGTGACGTCACTTCCGCGCACTCGCACCTGGGCACGCGCCGTGTAGGCGGACAGGAATCCAAGCAGGATTCAGGTCAGAAAAAAAAGTGTTCCAAATATGGTACGATGTAAGGCTTTGCATGCACATGTTGCGGTTATTTTGGGCTTAGCATTCATTAACGTTCACGTAAACTTTGCGGGTGAAACAATATGCTCAAAAACCATGCCGTGAAAAGTCGCTTCTTGTAAACAACGAAACAGTATAGAATCCTGTGTAAATAAAGCCAACCATCTTGCATTGCCATAACAAAAATCCCTAACCAACATCAAGACTGCGAAAACAACAATACAACGAGATAAAATTACACCTGTGGTTCGTATTGCAGATTTAAATAGGGCACATCATTATTATTCCACATGCAAAACACTCTCATCAGCACTTACTGGCGATAGTGCAAGAAGATTTACCGTGGCCACCAGTTTCTTGAAAACAACATGTAAGCGTCCGCTTTACAATTCAAAATGAAATGAGACCATGCTCTGCACCTGTACAAACTGAAACCAGACACGGTCTACTTATGTTACTTAGGTACGGGGAACTGAGGCGCTATCAAATTACCAGTGTCACCCGCAATATCCACACGCAAACGTTATTAACTTTGAGTCCTCTCACATGTCTGGTATTTCACGAGCGAGTGTGCCAGGGTGAATTATTATTTCTATTTTCTATTTATCGCAGTTGCTGAGCAGAGGTCCAGCGTTTCTAAAGTGCCAAGTGACCAGCAACGAGCAGCACTGTTAATACTCCTAGGTTTTTTCGGTAAAGTCACGTATTATTTTATTTTATTTTTTTCCTACGTGACTTTACCGAAAAAATCTAAGAGTATGAATCCTTGCAGTTACAAAAGCTTCAAATCTAGAAGCACTGTTAATGTTGCAATGGATGAGAGTCGTCACACTTCTTGAATTGAGCAAGGTCTTCCTAACTTGGCGGGGAAACAGATTATGGGAATGAATTCTAAAGTGGAGGAGTGTGAGAGAAGGAGATGTGAGATCTTATCTAGGAATGAATTCTAAAGTGGAGGAGTGTGAGAGAATGGGATGTGAGATCTTACCTAGGAATGAATTCTAAAGTAGAGGATTGTGAGGGAAGAATTAGATGTGAGATCTTATCTAGGAATGAATTCTAAAGTGGAGGAGTGTGAGAGAATGGGATGTGAGATCTTACCTAGGAATGAATTATAAAGTGGAGGAGTGTGAGGGAAGAATTAGATGTGAGATCTTACCTTGCTGTGCGATCGTTGAACACAGCGTGGATGAGACGAAATGGTCAATCTGTCAGACTGAGTCTTCAACATGGGGTGGAGGAGCCAATGCGATCCGTGGGTAGAGTAGCTATAACAATCGCGCTAGAATTGCGATATGGAGGCGACTGAGCGAGTGACTGGAGTGAATCAGTGTGTGCTGCATCACCAATCAACCGGACTTTCTCCATGGTGAGTTCAACCAAGTGCCGGTTCAACCTGGCCCTGACGGCCCCGGTGGAAGTCTCCTTACCCTCGGGGAGCGAAACCTGCCACAGCGGCGGCAGCGACAGCGACATCGAGCGAGCTCATGCACGCAGTGACCAAAGAGTCGAGGCGACTCACCGGCGGTCAGCCGAATGGGCAGGCTGCGGAGTCTGCCCGCGGCGTTCTCGGCCGTGCAGTAATAGGTGCCGTCATGGAGGCTGGGGCCGGCGCTCTTCTCTCCCGTCATGGGCAGCAGCTGCAGGGAGCCGTTGGGATGCAGCTGCCGCACGCCAAGCGAGTCGTGCACCTCCTCGGACTCGTCGCTCGCGGGGCTTCCCAGCTCGCGGTACCACGAGATGCGAGCGCTGGGCGTTCCGGACACCGGGCAGGGCAGGAGTGTGCCTGCCGGTGCCAGAAAGGTCACCTGCTGGGGGAAGCCGGCCGCATAGTGCAGGCTGGGGCCCACCTCATTGCCCCGTGCTGTGACACAAACGGAGAGCATGATATGAAGAGGGTCTTCTTCGAGGAAGCTTTCAGTTAATGTTACATTTAATACGCAGTGCGTTAACCGCTGCCGTGTCTATTAGGTTAGCACCCTGGATTTGATTAGATTCCCCGACGCGCCGGTTTAAACTACGGTGCAGGTTTCTTTAATCCCCCACCAGCTCTGTCCACATAGTCGATCGTCAAGTCGCATATGGAGGGGTAAAATGTCGGCGCTCCCCCACCTGTTCCAAGGCATTTGATCAGCGTGGAAGCGTAGGCCAAACTCGCCTCTCGAGGGAATATCTAGAGCGCCTTCTAGTGGAGACCCATCCACCGGCAATGGCATGAGCAGGACATTCCAAGGCTGCACCTGTACCTTTTAAGATCATTTACTACAGCGTGTGCATGTATCGTTGTTAATATCCCAGCGATGCAATATATTTATCTAAGCAACGTGTTTTTTCAGAAATTCATATTTTGAGAAATGGATTCATCTGTCGAAGGTCTGTTTTTGACCATGATAACATTTTACAAATGCCTTGATAGAGGAAACCCCCTTTTGTGCTATCCTTAGAATCTATAATACCGATAATTATACTGCAGGCTTGATGTCCTCACAGTAGTCCTAGTTGTAACTTGTTTGAAAGAAACATGCACCGATGGCATATTAATTTGAGAATGGGGTCATATTTTTCGGCTTCCTTGAGGCCGTCTTTGTGATTTGAGCACAAAGAATCCCACTGCTCTATCAGTAGCATTCTCGAGAGAAGCTGTATCATAAAACATAACCAAGGTGAAGGCCACTATAATAAGAAAGGAATGTTTGTTAAATCTTAAATTTCATATATCTTCCTGAATTTTTTTTTTCAAATGTCACAGTATCAATGTGGTAAAGTATACAGAGACGATGCCGTATTAACTAGTTAACGATATTTATTATATTAAATGGCATAATTGTGACCACAAAAATTGTATTTTCCATTTATGACACCTATTTTTTTCTCTTTCAAAAACATAATCCTTAAACCAAAGCATGAAAGTTGAATGCACAAATGTAAACATATTGTAAGCCAGTCAACTGCAATGTTGTTTTAATTAAGCGTATTCTTAGGTTTTTTCGGTAAAGTCACGTGGGTAAAACATCAAAATTTTATTAATTTTGATGTTTTACCCACGTGACTTTACCGAAAAAACCTAAGAATATGAATCCTTGCAGTCACGAAAGCTTCAAATCTAGAATTTAATTAAGCGCATAACTGCTTAATTAAATAACCACACATTGAGATTGTGAAATAAATATAAAGAACCAGGAACATCACCACACGCACATTGTCAAGGCCATTGCTATAGCGCTGCATTTCCTTTGCAATCCCGTCAAGAGAGATCAAATGTGTGATAATTAGTATGTGCTGAGGACACTCATAATGACGCGTATGATGTTTAATATTAATTTATGAAATCATCAGAAGAAGCTCAGCAAGGCGTTGAGTATTTACATTTACAAAGAAAGTATCATTAATTGTTCCTTATAAATAGATCAAGCCCACATTCTCACGCAGGGTCCCGTCGACGTAACGGCACAAGTACGGCACCGAACAGCGGAGGCACTTTATCAACGTGGAGCCCACCACCGCCGCCACCACCACCGCCGCCGTGGCTAAATTTACGGCCAGCCGTCACACATCAGTGGCGTGCCGTGCATCACTAAGATGATCGAAATGTTTGGCTCAATTAGTGCTGGGTTATTTGGCCAAACCAGAGTGTTAAGTTATTTTGGATTCGCAGTCCTTAACAGGGGGTGGTGGGGTGGTGGTGGATGGAGGAACTGTGGTGGTGCAATTTCGATTTAAAGCTTTCGTGACTGCAGGGATTCATCTTCTTGGTTCTTTCGGTAAAGTCACGTAGAATGGAAATAATAAAATAATAAACATTTTACATAATAAAATAATTCTCACGACGTTTCGGCCACAACGCAAGCAGCCGTCCTCAGGTGAAGAATAGGTCTGTCGAGAAGACAGAGGACGGCTGCTTGCGTTGTGGCCGAAACGTCGTGAGAATTATTTTATTATGTAGAATTTTTATTATTTTATTATTTCCATTCTACGTGACTTTACCGAAAGAACCACGAAGATGTGGTGGTGCAGTTGCGTTGTGTGCCCTGACAACCTGAATGAGATCCCATCCGTGGCCACAATCAGCGGCGAGAACCTTTGAGCCGATGCAACAAAACTATTCACCAGCGTAGGGTCAAACAACTACTGTGACTGATATGGCAAAGGGTGGCTTTCATCCATAGATTCACAATGGGCTGTAAAATACTATTATTAATTATTATACGAGAGAGAGAGAGGTGAGTGCTGAATAGTGAGTTATATTGTGTAACCATACGTGTCATTGTATACAGCGTAAGTCGGCAAGTACCACATAATAGAGAGCTCATAGGAATATAATCGGTCTTATAACAACAACAAAATACGGGCATGTGAAATCAATTAAATAATGTCTAGCCTGCTGCATGTGTGTCACATAGCAGTGGGTAAGTATTCATCATGTGAGTGTACCAGAAATGGAATACAAATATAAATGTCACGCTTAATAACACCGAAGTTTGTATTGGCCTGAGGTCACTGTCAAGAAATGCAATGTCAACAGCTGAGTTAGCAACGAGAACAGTTGAACTCGTGTTTTAATTAAGAGTTTCTTATGTTAGATATTTCAATAATGAAACACCAAAAAAGGCGTTGCCACATGAAGAACACACTTATAGAGCATTGTTAAGCTTTGCGAGCCAAAATATTCTCATTTTTTTCATCCGATGACCGAATCACCCGGAATGCACTCAATCGCAGCCTGCTTGTATGGGTGACCACCATGCAAAAGCCAGTTGTCAAAGGGGCTTCTGAAGGAAGTGCGGCCAAATCCATTCTTGTACCGTACTTCTATGCTCCCACATATACGCTAATCTCTTTCAACAACCCACAATGACTAGTGTGATAAAAAAAAATAACCCCAACGAACCCACAAGGCGTGGTGAGGCCCTCAACCATCAGCGGCTTGACAATGGAGACTCTCCACGCCATATCATTATGCATCGCTCTATTTTAAAGAAAAGGCCGTGCTTTCCAGACGATATCCTCCAGAGAAGAATGGCGCTGTGGTGGCTCGTGATTGGGGGAGACAACACGACAAGAACAACATAAACCCAGAGTGTGTTTGAGTTTACCAGTGGGTTTGTGCTTCATTGGTGTTAAACACAAAATGCCGCAGAGCACCGGAGAGACGAACAACAGTTGCGGGAAATAAAATGAAAAGAACAAGAAAGAAACAACCCTCAGTTAACATAAAAAAAACAATTGCTGGCTATGCATCCGTTGGTTTGCTATTGATGACATGCATTATGCATTCAGATGGGGGGGGGGGGGGGACCGGTGTTTAATTTTTGATTAGTTCACCAAGCTCCAGCAATAAAACCTGCCGGCGAAGTCACAGCTCAACATTCTTTCATGTCACCCCCCTCCCCACCACCAACGCATCCGCGTCCCCCTCTGAGCCAAGGCAACAGGCTTCAAATTATATATTTTTTACATTAAATAAAATTCTGCAAAGTTTAAGCTCTTCAAAGGTTGAGCGATCTGTTTTGTTCGCCGCGCAGGTTAAATAAATGCTGATGCAAGGAATACATTTCGACGGCGTGCGGCATACACGGTCCACTTTGTGTCCCAGAGCTCACGTTTGTAGGCGTGTTCAAACGTTAAAGGTTTGCAGCCCTGCAACGTCTTGCTCATGCCACTGCAGGTGGAAAGGACCTCCAAATCGACAGAGCCCGAGACAACCCCATAATAGAGGATGTGATGGAAAAGCCTACACGCTGGCCGGACGCCTCGAAAGAGGTGGTGGTGCCCACTGCCCACACTTTACCCCAACACACGCGGCCAGCCAATCAATTGTGTGCACCCATAAACAAGTAAACCCGTAAAAACAAAGTTTTTCACTATAAATCCTTTATATGCGTGGCATCGGGGCGGCTAGAGTCCTCTCGTCCTCTGGCTTGAGATGGCTGCCACCTATGGGTCAGATGATTGTCTGGCAGCATTAAGCAATTGGTAATGAAATATTTTCCAAAAATTCCCTAAACAGTGTAAAATTTTGGAAATTTTTTTTTCACGAAAATGCATTGTCACGCACAACGAGTCTGTGTGAAAAATGTCAGCTCGATCGGATCACGGGAAGTGGGTTAAAAAACGACCGAAAGATTTGCACGGTCCTAAGCAAGCAAGCGAATTTAATATAAAGGATTTAAAAAATATATCTCTCTATCTCACTATTGCTGAGTAGGGGGAGGCGACGCGGTGTGAGATACTCACCGGTAGTTTCAGTTGTCTCACGGGGTTATATGAGCCGGTAAACCGACCCCTGGATTTCAAAGCCGGAGTGTTATTACACACCACGAGAGCATCTACGTACATTTACGTAAGTATAGGTGGAAATGTGTTGTTGCATAAAACAAATATTTAATTGCCCCGTGGCACACCACGTCGAGAGGATCAGAGTCAAGGATGGGAAAGTAATTAGGACAACATTTGGCCAAGGATCAGGAAAGATGAGGATAGGGAGGAAGAAGAGGCTAAACTAGGGGCCTTGACGCTGCAGGGAGCGGTGTGCGTTTTCGCAGGGGGCGGGGAGAGGGGAGGGATTGAGAGTGGGGGGTGGCCACGCAGATGCCACTTTGATTCATGGGAGGTTTGAGCCGATTTCAGACATATAGATGTAGAACATTGAAGTGTGGTATGATCATTTCTGCTGTAAATAGAGTGGAGTTGGAATAAATTACATGCCTCGGAATCATCGACTGCGTTAATAATCGTGAAGGTAGTACATAGCTATCAAGACAAATCATGTCCACCGCAATCATTACATGTTTCAATGTAACATCCAACAACTGCTTTAAAATGTCTCCATTTTTTTCAGCCTCTTAAATTCCTGGTCTCCATTTT